AGCCCGTGTATCTAGGAACAATCTCCTTGTCCCATAACTAAGTGCCCCCGTAGGTTATTTAGATAATTGATCCACCTAAACTAAGTGAATGGTTCTACCTTAGTTAAGTAGGACAACCCTTTTCGGTGTGGGTAACACTTGATAAATTCCATGTTAAGCTCACGTGGTCTATGTCGGTTAAGGCTAATTTCCCACAAGGTCAAGTCTAGTATGAACTATGGCTACTCAAAGAGCTTTACTTAGTATGGGTAAGAGTATGGGATCTTATTTATGCATTGCACAAGTATGATTTGAGGGTAGTTATGGTATGTTCCCCTTATGTTATGATGATTAGGTAATGGATATGCTTATGACTATGTGCTAAGTATGTTTGATATGAGGACTACTTGTAATGATGTTTGTTTAACTTGGATTATTGTCATGAGTTGATTTCCTTGGTATGATTGACTAAAGGTGAATATTCACTTGTCTATGAGAAATAAGCTAAGAATGAGATCTAAAGATGGTATACGTGAATGAGGACCTAAAATGACTTTCTTAGCATGGGTGGGATTATGGGGTCTTATCCATGCATTGCCCAAGCTTGCCTTGTGGTGGCTCATGAAGTGTTTCTCTTATGTTATGTTAAAACTAGATTGTATTGACTATGTCTATGTCTATGATGTTATATCTTATGTTCACTAGTTATGATTATTGTCTACCATGTTATAGCCTATGTCTTGTTGTGGTGTCTTTTATGCTAATTACTTGTGTATTTCCACTATTTTCAAAATGATGATTTAACTTAGCAAAGTGCATGCATTCAAATAAAATGTCCTTTTTGCATGTTTTCAATATTTTTATGCATGGCTATCATACTTAGTGCAATTTTGTGCTAACCCATAAGGGTCCGGTTCTCAAGGTGGTCCCCATTGTCACTAAAGCTTGGACTTGATTATTTCTCCTAGCTTGTTGGTGAGTCCTCATGATTCGAGAACTGATGCTATATTTGTAGTTTCTTTTATTGTACTTCCATTTTTGGACATGTTGTATGTGTTAGTTCCAATTTTATTCAAGGATTGTAATAGATGGCTATATTGAGAAAAGTTTAGACTTCCGCTTTGCTTTTATGAAAACCTTTTTAAGACTTGAAATGTGTTTTATTTCTTATTGTTCTAATGCTTTATGTTATGATATTCTAAGTGGCTTACATAGTGCCCTTCGGGGTATTATGTGCCTTGTTACATCTAGAGGGTACCCCTGGGTCGTGACAAACTTGTCAATCAGAGCACAAGGTTTAGAATGATTCTAGGATAATGTCTCATAAGCCACGTCTAGTAGAGTCCTATTCATAGTGTGAAGCGCGCCACATTTATGAATGAGAGGCTACAAGATACTTAGTAAACTACACTTCTTTCATTACTCTTAAGTCATTCCATAGATTTTAACTCTATAAAGTCCCTCTCCTAATCCTTCCCTTGTGTCTCCAAGATATGAATACACGAAGGGATAATTCTAGAAGAATGGAGGGCGACAATGTGAACAAAGAAGCTCCTCAAGTTAATCAAGCTCTGGTTAATCCTTCAGCTATGCCGAATGTGAGGGTTAGGTCGGATTTTCAAATGTATGCCCAAGCTATGACGACTCAAGCTCAAGCTATGACTACTTAAGCTCAAGCGGTGACGGCTCAGGCCAATAGAGATGTTGGGACTCATGTGAATTCAATTGCTTCAAGGGTTAGGGATTTTGCTAGAATGAACCCTCCCGAGTTTCATGGCTCCAAAATGGAAGAGGTTCCTCAAGAATTTGTGGAAAAATTTTATAAGATACTTGACATTATGGGGGTGACTTCGATAGAGAAATCGGAGTTAGCCGCTTACCAATTGAAGAGTGTTTCTCAAGTATGGTATGATCTATGGAAGAGAAATAGGTCGGTACGAGCGGGTCCCATAAAGTAGGAAGTATTTATATCAGCGTTCCTTGATAGGTTCTTTCCCCGAGAGTTGAGGGAAGCTAAGGTCGAAGAATTCATTAACCTTAGGCAAGGTAGCATAAGTGTTAAGGAGTATGCCTTGAAATTTACCCAAATATCCAAGTATGCTCCAAATATGGTGGCGAATTCGAGAGATAAGATGTATAGGTTTTTGACGGGTGAGTCCTACTTGGTTGAAGAAGAATGTCGTACGACAATGCTCCTTCATGACATGGATATCTCTAGGCTTATGGTGTATGCCCAACAAATTATGGAGTCAAGGCATAGGAAAAAGAATAGGGAGGTGAAGAGATCTAGGACCGGTGATGGGAACTTCTCCAATGCTAGGTCAGATGAACCAAATTTTGATACATCCAAACCTACACCTCAATTAAGAGATATAAACAGTCGAAGTCAATTTATAGAACTCAACGTGAGTTGAGGTCGATCCCACAGAGAATTTCTTTATAGAAATGATTTCACTATCGCGTTTTACTCAAATGTGGTTATTATTTCCTAAAGAAACAATTACAGAAACTAAAATGGGTTTAGTTGTGATGTTCTAGTAACTAAGATTTGTAATCAAAATCCAGATTAACAGTTAACAGAGTTTTCAGTTCTCCAGTTTTTTCGATGATTAAAAGAAACCAGGATTGTGTTCCCCATAATTTTACACCTAATGTTCTTCCGTAGTTGAGTTTCAGGCAATTTATCTCCACAAAATATAGACGAGTTAGATATATCTGATACTTTTCAGTCTAATCAGATAATGTTCACTCAAGTCCTCTCAGTCCCAGAGTGTTACTAGTTTTACCCTCATCTACAATGGTGTGAAATTTCTTTTCTCTCGAACTCAAACTTTGACTCCATTTCTTCAAGTTAATTTAGCTTTTTCCTAACTATTACTTTTCTCTCGAACAAATAATAGATAAAGGCTCACTCTAATGCGTGTACTCATTAGAATATGTTGATAATGAAAGCTAGATTATAATTTGCAAACATAAATCACCTATCACTCATTTTAAGGAATTACAATTCGATTCAC